GGGGGGGGGGGGGGCAATTTCCATTGGTAGTAATTTTTTAGATAAGAAATTATTGAGTATCTAAAGGTTAAAAATTATACTCCCTCCGTTCCAATTTATGTGTACCTATTTGACCGGGCACGGAGTTTAAGAAAAAATGAAGACTTTTGTAATTTGTGGTCCTAAACAAGTCAAAAAGGAACCTAGAATATTTGTGTGGTTATAAAAGCTTCTCATTAAGGGTAGAATGGTAAGTTTAAGCTAAATTGTTACCAAATTTAGAAAGGGGTCATTCTTTTTGGAACGGACCAAAAAGAAAATAGGTTCACATAAACTGAACAGAAGCAATAATATTTAATACAAAAAGGAAAATAAAATTTTAATTTGTTACTTGACCGCTGAGATTTGAATAATCTAATTTGTTAGTGATGTTGGCTACTGAGATTGGAATAATCCGAAGTGTATAAATACATTTTTGATTTTTTATTTAATAAAATTGATATTACTAATGATAAGAATATGAAAAAAAATTATTGCCTTAGCCAGGATTAAAATATAATAGATACTCTGATATGATAGTTTAGACTTATTTTCTAAATTATATAGTGCTAAAAGAAAATATTACAAGTAGAAGATAATACTCTAATCGATATACTATAAAACTTGATTTTTTTTTCAAATGCTACATTCCTTATAGAAAGATATTACTATAATAGTTGCATTAGGGGAAAGAATTTTTTCTATATTAAACTTGATATAATCTTACATAGGATCAACAATGTTTTAAGAGAAGCTAAATGGATCAGATTAGCTATATTATCAGTTGGAAAAGAATTATTAGAAGAACTCAACTATAAGAAAATTATTAATAACTTTGCATCTAAATTAAAGAACTCAGTAATTAATATAATGTTCTTCACGATAGAGGCATAAAATGTTATTGGCATTATTTATTGACTGGTTGAAGATCGAGTGTCCCAATACTTCTCAATCTCCTCTGCAGTTCGTCCGGGGATTCTTCCAGCTATAAGAGACCACCTGATAAATAAATAAAAAAGAACTATCAATCACAACAAAGCGCGCAACTTCTTTTTCCGTTCCATTTTACATGACAATGTTTGACTTAACATAGACTTTAAAAGGAAAAAGATATTTTTAGTCCATTTCAAAAGTACTCTATGATGGTGAGACTTGGAGCAGCGGCAAAGTTAGAGGTGGAGGTAGAGTTTGGCCGCCAAGTTTATCTGATCCATTACTTTTGATGCGGAACATAAATTTATCTGTACAAATTCATTAAAAATGCAACAAATGGTAGTATGAACCCATAATTTTAAAAATACAACGTGTTTAATGTTAAAAACCTTAGAAGTTGAACAAATAAAATTTAAATCTTGAACCGCCTCTGGATGAAATTGTCTTCGTGTGACCTATATGTCACGGGTTCAAGCTGTGGAATCAGCCACTAATACTTGCATCAAAATAAGCTTCCTATATCACATCCCTTAAGATGCGACCCTTCCCCTTACCCTACATGAACGCGGGATGCTTTATAAACCGGGCCGCTAGCTCATTCCAAAAGTACACTAAAATTTGTGTTCCTAAATATATTATAACCTTTCTATTCTATAAAAGTATTTCTATATCATTAAGGTAAAATAGAAAGTCTAAAATTTAAAACTTTTTAAACACAATTTTTTTTTTTTTATAAAACAGAGTAATAAAAGAGTGCCATATATATGAAGTAGAATAAAGGGAGTAATAAGAAAGTTGAAGCAGTTAGAAAGGTTGAAAAAACCTCTCGCCGAGCAAATTATACATCCTGATTATCAATTCTTCTTCATCTTCAGAAAATTCAGTTTCAACTTCTTTCGATATCTTTCCTGAAACAAATATCCAACGAAACGAACAGTAAAAATCCATATAACCGACTCCAACTTGTTTGATATAAAGTAACAAAAGAACAAACATTGAGAACAAGATCAATTAGAGGTGAGTGGATACCTTGAGAATCAGGAGGAGTATAGTCAGAGAAAGAAAGTTGTTCTGAATCTGCCATATTAAGTAGAGAATGAGAGTACAATATTACACGTTAGATCAACTTTAAATAATGACAGGCTTCAGTCTTCTTTTTTAAACTTATTCCTATCTGTACAGGATGGCTTAAAATAGTAGTACTACTCAAGCTTAAGTTTGTAAAATAGCACAGATATTAAGGAGGTGGAATGCGCTGACTGTTGAATGGTAGGTAATGAAGAGCTAGCCTTCCCTCCTCCTACTACTACTACTACAGGGGTTGTTGGGTTTGTTTTTTTGGAAAGTAAAATCCTGGTGGACAGTGTATATATAAGATTTTTCGTAAGTGGTATCAAATGTTAGTAATGTTTAAAGAAGTGAATAAATCAGTATAGGACAATAGGGGTTACTTATATGGTCAGCACCATTCACCTATAATTCTAGGATTGTGAGTTCGAATCACTAAATGAGTAATAACTACAACAAAGAGAATCAAAGGGAGAGGGGAGTAAAAAAAAAGAGAATTAAATCACTATAGTGACAACTGACATTCTTTTTTATATTTATAACCAATATCTTTATTTTACTTAATGTCTATATATTGATATCTAATAAAAGTGACAAAGCGATGTGTCATGTGACACTGCTTGGGAAGGTAGATTAGCCCCTATTGATGGATAATAGGTTGGATTAATCCCTCTAAGCTAGAGGGGTTCCGTAGTAGGATTTTTTCTCATGCCCGGGCGAATTTATGTGGAGGGAGGTGGGGTATATGCATCCATGCTTCCCTTTCTAGCTAGGCTATGGATAAACAATAGCAATTTTTCCGATTATGTACCTAAATATACTTGTGGCCACCCAAACTCAAGTGACTACTTTTGTGCACCGGTGAATAAGTCAGGGCCGGCTGGAGGGCCAAGCAAATAAAGCATTTGCTTTAGGCTCCCAAGCACTTGGGCCCCACAAATTAGTACTAGTAATAATTCTTTTAGCTTAAGCTAAGAAGTATTGGGGAGAGGTGATCATGCAGGATATGGCGAGGCTTCAGATTCCAAGGACATGACATTTGATAGGAAGATATGGAGGTCGAGTATTAGGGTTGTAGATGATGTGTAGCTATAATTTCATAGTTTCGTACATTATGTGCCTTGTATTTTACATGCTTTAATGATAAATCACACTTTATTTGCGCGTAATGGAGTCTATTTTATGTGTAGGTGAATTGAAGATAAAAGTAAAGAAAAAGGGATACTTGAACGTAGTTTGCTCGAGAACAATGAAAAGGAGAGGCCAGCCAAAGGCCGGGCTGAACCAGGCTTTAGCCTGGCAAGGCCAGGCTGAGGCTGGCGTTAGGCCTGAGGCCAAGTCCAATCCGAGTTTTGAAGGCTTATTTCATCTCCTGGTTTGACTAGGGCTTGGCCTACACGTTTAGGTCTTTTCCTACATATATAAATAAACCTAAAAATATCACTTTTGTATTTAGACCGAGATTAGAGAGATCGATTTTGGAAATAATTTAGACCTAAGGAGCCGTCGTGTAGACGGGAGATTCGACCTAATGAGGCAAGAACACACTAGGAGCAAGGCGGAGAATTCTTCTACGAGTTTTTCACTTCCTTCTTTCATTGTTGGTTATGAATTCTAGTATTGTAGTTATGCATACTATTATGAATAGCTAATTTATTATCTAGAGTTTTGATGGAACCTATTGGAAGATGATATTCTTGTTACGTTAATATAGATTTGTTGTAGTATTTTCTCTAATTGTTCAACTACATTTATATTGTGGTTGGTTGAAGAGCTCTCAATCGACTGTGCCTATTTAGTGTGTATTACTCGGGAAAGAGTGCATATTTAGGTAGTTGTTGAACAACATCACTCCTAACGTATATGAGAGATCAATACGGAGGGTTTAAAGGTGGGATTAGGGATAACGAAACCTTGGTGCGATCCGATTGAGCCGTACTTAATGCCAGAGAATATGTCTAGTAAATTGTGGTAATTACTCGGGAGAGAGTTATGACAGTCAGAGTACTCATGATCGGTAGAAAAAACTTAGGGAAATTTATAGGAAATATAGCGGAAAGGATTCCGACAATAGGGAAAATCATAACTCTAGACCTCCATAATCTTATCTCCAATCCTTATCTTTGTTAATTAATAGTTTACTGTTTTCTAGTATTTATTGGTTAATTAGATAAAAATAAATATTATAATCTTTATAATTAAGAAATTGTTTAGACTTGTGTTTCTTAGCGATATTGAACAACTGTATCTAAGCCTTAGTTCTCTGTGGGATTCGACTCCGGACTTATAAACCGGATTATATTTGCAATGACCGTACATTATGTGCCTTGCATTTTACATGATTTAATGATAAATTACACTTTGCTTGTGCGTAATAGAGTATATTTTATATGTAGGTGAATTGGAGATGAAAGTAGAGCAAAAAGGACACTTAAGCGTTGAAAGTGTGCTCGAGAACAGTAAAAAGGAGAGGCCAGGCAAAGGCCAGCTTAACTAGGCTTTAGCCTAGCGAGGCCAAGCTGAGGCCGGCGACGCCGAGCCTAATCCAAGTCAAGTCCAAGTTTTGAAAGCTTATTTCGTCTCCTAGTTTGACTAGGACTTGGCCTACACGTTTAGGTCTTTTCCTACACATATAAATAAACCTAAAAATGCTACTTGTGAATTTAGACCGAGATTAGAGAGATCAAGTTTGGACATAATTTAGACCTAAGGAGCCGTCGTGGAGACCGGAGATTCGACCTAAGGAGGCAAGAACACACTAGGATCGGCGTAGGATTCTTCTACGAGTTTTTCACTTCCTTCTTCCTATTTTCATCATTAGTTATGAATTCTAATATTGTAGTTATGTATACTATTATGAATAGCTAATTTGTTATCTAGGGTTTTGATAGAACCTATTGGAGGATGATTTTCCTGTTACGTTAATATAAATTTGATGTAGTATTTTCTCTAATTATTCAACTACGTTTATATTGTAGTTGGTTGAAGAGCTCTCAATCGACTGTGCTTATTTAGTGTGTATTACTCGGGAGAGAGTATATATTTAGGTAGTTGTTGAATAACATCACTCCTAACGTATATGAGGGATCAATACGGAGGGTTTAAATGTGGGATTAGGGATACTGAAACCTTGGTGCGATCCGAATGAGTCGTGCTTAATGCCAGCTAGCATAATTCGTGAGAATATGTCTAGTAAATTATGATAATTACTCGGGAGAGAGTTATGACAGTCAGAGTGCTCATGATCGGTAGAGAAAACTTAGGCAAATTTATAGGAAACGTAGCGGAAAGGATTCCGACAATAAGGGAAATCATAACTCTAAACCTCCTTAATCTTGTCTCCAATCCTTATCCTTGTTAATTAATAGTTTTTTTGCTTTCTAGTATTTGTTAGTTAATTAGATAAAAATAAATATTATAATCTTTATAATTAGGAAATTGTTTGGACTTGTGTTTCTTAGTGATATTGAACAATTGTAGCTAGGTCTTAGTTCTCTGTAAGATTCGACTCCGGACTTGTAAACTGGATTATATTTGCAACGATCGATTAGTCCTTTTTATAAAGCATAGTTGGGCGTGATCATAGGTTAGGAGGTAGTTTAGTCTTGTCTTACTTTGTACTTTTGTGAGCCTAGTCTGGTAGGGTTTTTATCTAAGATAGCTAGTGGCAATGTTGTGTCTTACTATTTCGCTTTTCAGTGCAGGACCTATTTAATAGCCATCGCTTTTCCTTTGCATCTTTCTTCTGGATTTCATGTTGTTTCTATTTTTCCTTTGATTTCTGTGGTGAAACTAATATTGTCTCCTTTTGTCTTTTTATTCTCTTGAGCCGATGGTCTTTCGAAAACAACATCTCTACTCCTTCAAGATAGGGGTAAGGTCTGCGTACACACTACCCTCCCCAGATTCCACTAGTGGGATTTTACTGGGTTGTTATTGTTGATTCTTTTAGTTTAATTTTTTAATAGAAAATATTGAAGAAATGAAGTAGCAAAAACGGACAACTTATGGATGGAGTTACGGACATACCATATTCCGGTTTCCTTTTTAAGGTCATATTTTCCTAATTCTATTTCATTCTTTTGAAAGATTTTAAGCATTAAAATAAACAAAGTAAAATTGATTTATTCGATATCAATCGTCAAAATTATCAACTTCTAGCATTAAATTAATCCTATATTGTTATAATATTTTTTTATGTGATAGCTTTATTTCCTGTATGCTTATTTATAGGTATACCTTATGCTTTTATTATGTACTAGAATTTAAATATATCAACTGAAAAAGTGGATCACCTCAAGTCTTAAAAAAGAGGGAGAGAGAGAAGAATTGAAATTTGATATAATTTCAAAAAGATTTTTTTGATGAAGTCTTAACAAACAATAAAAAATTGATCGTTCTTTAACAAGGCTCTTGTAGCTCAGTTGGTTAGAGCACCCGTTTAGTAAGCGGGAGGTTTTGAGTTCGACTCTCAACGAGAGCATTTTGGCTGAGCTGAAATTCCTCCTAAAAAGGTTTCAATTAGCGACAACAATACTGACTCGGCTAAAATAATTCAAATCGCCTAAAGTTTTTGGCATGTAATATTGGCTAGAAATACTATGCATTGTATTTCCTATATATATATATAACCAAAAAAAATTGACAGTTGTTGCAAAAAGGAGAAGAAGAAAAATTAAATGAATTAACCTTATTATTAACTGAAAGGGATTATTAGAAGATATCGACTATAAAGGATTAATTGATAACTTTGTGTCCAAAAAAATAAAAAGATAAATTTTAGCTAAAATACATATGAAATTTCATTAAAAATAATTAGGCCTCATAAATAATTGTAGCTTTAGACCACTATTATAGTTGAGCCGCCCAGGAATAAGTGTCCCTTTTGGCCCTCAGGTCGGGGTTCAATTCCCATACAGTTCTTTTTAATTAATCCTTTTTAATAATTAATAAATAAACAAACCCTAATTCCCCATGCCCTTTTTAATTTAAACACACCCATGTTTTTAAACTCCTAAATATGCCTCTGCTCCCGTCTTTTCTTCACTTATATAGACTCTAACAACAAGAAGACTTAGCTAGCGTTTGGCCATAGATTTTTAAATTTATTTTGA